AGGGAGGGAAGAGGAGGGAGAAGGAGGGAGGGAAGAGGAGGGAGAAGGAGGGAGGGAAGAGGAGGGAGAAGGAGGGAGGGAAGAGGAGGGAGAAGAGGGAGAAGGGAGAAGGAGGGAAGAGGAGGGAGAAGGAAGAAGGAGGGAAGAGGAGGGAGTAGGGAGAAGGAGGGAAGGAGAAGGAGGGAGGGAAGAGGAGGGAGAAGGAGGGAGGGAAGAGGAGGGAGAACAGGGAGAAGGGAGAAGGAGGGAAGAGGAGGGAGTAGGGAGAAGGAGGGAAGGAGAAGGAGGGAGGGAGAAGGAGGGAGGGAAGAGGAGGGAGGAGAAGAGGAAGAAGGGGAAAAAAGAGGGGGAGGGGGAGGGAGGAAGGAGCCTTGCCACGTCCAGCCAGAAGCCACATGGGACACATGTGAAGCACTGTGGAGGAGACAGGCTGTTCCTACAGCCAGAGCCCACCAACACCACAGGGACCGGACTGCAGAAGGCACAGAGCCACCCACCTATTGAGACCCACACAGATCTCTCAAGGCGGCCCATGAGGCAGCAGTGCAGGTAGCGCCCCGCCTCGGCTGGTGCCCTAAGCAGCCTGCCCCCTGATGACAGGCAAGGCCACAGCAGGGCTGAGGAGGACCACGGCATTTATAACACAAGGGAGCAGAGTGGGCATCGGGACCCCGCCTGAGGGCTGCGGCTGAGCCTGGGTCTGGGGCCTGACACGTGTCCCCATGCAGGGCTGTCCTGGGGCAGGTGTGCCGCCGAGGGACTGCGCTCAGGTCTGAGGCCCTCCAGGCGCGCTCTTTACTTCAGCACACTCCTTTGGGTTCGTACCTGCTACTATCTTTTTAATCTCAGCTGTTCGTCCCGTTGAGAAGCATACGGAAGAAAGGCAGAATAGGAAACCGTGAAAAGTCTTTTTCAGAAAGAAGAAAATCAAAAGAATCAAACAGGTTCAGATAACAGAGCACAGGAATTGGAACCAAAAAATACGGCCTGACTAAAACCTCAGACAAAATTTCACACGTGCGAACTTCTGAAGCAGCTCAGAGCTCCGGAAGCCCAGGGGCACCTTTCGGCTCTGTCTTCCGCGCTGCAGATGCAAGGAGGGTGAGCTGTACCCGTGAGAAGCCAGGCCGCAGCCACTGGGACATGGCTGTCCTGAGGCCACTGGGACACGGCTGCTGCACCCGCCCTCCCTCGGACCGGCTGTCCCGAGGCCACAGGGCAAGAGGCGCGGGCAGGAAGTGCGTGTCTTACGAACGCCCTGGGAGGTGCCCACGCCAAGGCTGGCCTAGAGCTCCCACACCTGCTCCCAGGGGCTTGGCCCAGGAGGCTGGAACGGCTGTGCCCTGTGACCCCCATACAGATCCCTGGAACAGACCCTCTCAATGCCGGGGCACACGTGGACGCCGCATGGGGCACGGCTGACCACCCTGAGAGAAGGCTTGGACGTTGCCACCAAATGTACCTGACTTTTGGCAAGCGGGGGCTCAGCCACACACCCTCAGAGGGCGAGTGGACCCCCAGCCTGGGAGAGGACATGGCACAGAAGCCTGTCCCCAGCAGGCCCACAGAGGGGGCTGCTGCCACCCAACTGCGTGAGGTCACAAGGAGGGGCCACAAAAGCCAACAGCTGGGACCCAAGGGGCAGGAAGTTTGGAGGAGGAGTCACAGTAAGTTTTATTCTCAGGAGAGCAAAGGCATGAGGAGCCTTCCTGGAGGGACAGGTGACAGATCCCTGCCGATGGACACAGCCGAGCTCCGAGGGCCGAGGGTGTGGGAGCAGCGCTCTGGGCTGGGGCTCTGCTAGGACCAGGGTGGGTGCAGCCACCCGCAAGCCGGGACCCCTCGGGGCACAGCCTTAAAATAAACCTCCACATCTGGGTGCAGGCACGCCCACACCTGCCTGGCTTTAAATACTGCGAGTGTTAGAACTGCTAACCTGCTTTAAAATGAGACAAAATGGTAATCACAAGCCAGGTGACAACGCTGCAGATGTTCTAAAGGGGAGTAAGGGAAATAAAACGCTCCCGGGGAGGGTTAAAACGTTCCCAGAAAGCAAGCTGCTGATGGGAAGGGAGCAGAAAGCTATCCGAGGGGTCTGCTTAGCAGACGGCTGGAAAGAGAAGGGTGCCTGACAGGGCTCCCTAGGATGACCTGGGCATCCCCCCAGGGCTGGGGGAGGGGCTGCTGCTCCCTGGGCCTGAGGCGGGCAGCTGTGGGGCCAAGGCCTTACCTTCCAGCTGGCTGGCCGCCTGGTCTCCGCCCGCTCGCTCCACGTCCCTCTGCTCGCGAGGCTCAGGCGGCAGCCCAGCCCCCGGAGCCGGCTTCTCCGCTGGGAGGGGAGGCTTCCCACCTGCACACACGGTGAAGACTCAGGAGGTTTTGCAGGAAAGTCAGGGGGGATGGGGGGGGGACAGAAGACAAGGGAGGGACAAAAGGAGGTGGCAGATGTTTCTAAAGAGACACCCCCGTCAGCACAGTTTATATTCAACCTGATGATTACTAGCGAAGCAATAAAAAAATATTTAACAACCTCATAGGCTTGTGGCAATGAGCCAATGTTAACTGCCTTCGCAATTAAAATGCAAGAACCGTCCTAAGCAGCTCTTAGACGGGCACTTAACAACGTGTTACCTGTCAGGCGCCCCCCGCGCCACCCCCCGTGTGCGCGCAGACACACGAGCACAGCGCGGCACCTGACATTTAGTGGTCTGGCAAACAACTGTGTGACAGATATTACAGTAGCTGTCAGCCACCAGCCTCTTCCTGTCCCCACCAGCTGCCGGGCTGCCCCATTTGCATGCTAATCTGGAGCAGGGCGAGAGACTGGGGCCTGAGGGAGGAGCCATCGATTCTGCTGCCCCTGCCCAGCCTCCCCAGCCCGAGGGGGAAGCGTTGTCCCACACGAGCCCAGGGTGACACCCACCATGGTCGCTGTCCTCTGCAGGCTGCCCTGCATCCCCGGCGGCGTTGCCTGGTGGCGGCACCCCATCGGCCTTTTCCCCTTCACCCACTGCCAGGGCATTCTGCTGCTCAGACAGCACTGCCTGGGGCCGAGGACGCAGGTCCCTGTCCCCTGGCCCCAGGCCTTCCTTTGCTGGCTGGACAGCTGGCTGACCATCTGCTTCAGGAACTTTCTGGGGATCTTCAGGAAGATCGCCCGCTTCCTCCAAGGCCTGGGCCTGTCCAGGCCTCTTCCCAACCTCTCCCTGCTCCGGCTCCCGTTTCTCTCTCTCTGAGTCGGGCAGAGGTGGTGCCATCTGGCCTTGGACCCCTGGAGCCTTTCTGCCCGCGTGTCTGGATGGAGGTTTGTTCTCTTCTGGCACCTCTCGGTCTTGGCCTTCATCTACCACCACCTTGTCGTGAGGAACAGGAGGCTCGTGGCGGTGGGCCTCGCCCACAGGCATGGCAATCCCTGCAAGGGCATGGGGGACAGATGGGGTCAGGCTGAGGCCCCTCCTTCCCTTCCCAGGGAATCTGAACTGGGCTCTTCCCTGGGTTCTGGCTCCCAACAGAGTGACACAGGCCAACAGATACCACCTCCCCGCTGGCCTCCCTGCTGCCTGGTCAAGCGCAGTTGACACTAAAGTTACAACAGGGGCAGCTGCAAACAAGTTGCTCTGGGAGGGGCAGGACATTCATCTGAATTGAAAGACACAGAAAACAAAAATGACCAGAACTTAGGATGGGCTGAAGGGAAACACACACACACAGCCCCAAGAGCCACGTCACAGGGTGTCCGGCCTGCAAAGGAGGACCTGGGGCCCCCCTTCCCCGTCTCCAGCCCCGGCCAGTGCCCAGTACCTTGCCCAGGGCGATCAAGCTGTGCCTCCTCCTGTGCCTCCTGGCCATCTTCCCGTCCAGGCACATCCACGGGCCCCTTGATCTGGGCCTGCTCCAGCTCCTCTCTCTCCTTTGGCAGCTTCGGTTTCTCCCGGCCATCCTCGGCCATGGCCACCACCGGATCCTGGGCTGGGAGCGGGGCACAGTTAGGGAACCGCACTGCAGGAGCGGGGCGGCTCTCCCTGGACTCCTACTATATTTTCCAGCCCAACGGCAGAGCCAAAGCAGTTATTTTTTTTTCCTGTTCAATCATTAGCAGCTAAGTAGCACAGAAAAGTGTCATTTTTCATGTGTATTCATAACAAAAATATGTCAAAATGCAATTTACACCTAACTGGGGGCAGGGAGAGCTAGAGTCCATGTAATACTCAGTCATTACCACCAGATGGCAGCATGAGCCCACCGACCGACTCTCCCACAGTCCCCTCCATTACCGCCATCACCTCCATCACCACCGCCATCACTGTCACCGTCACCTACACCACCACCACCACCACCACCATAACCGCTACCAATCACCATCATCTCCATCCCTACCACCATCAGTGCCATCACCACCGTCACCACTACCATCACCATCACTGCCACCCCTACCATCATTGCCATCACCTCCGTCATCATCACCACCATCATCTCCAGCCGTACCACCACCACTGCCATCCCCACCACCATCGCTGCATCACTGCCACCTCCATAATCATCACCTCCATCACCACCTTCCTGTCCCAGCAAGGCCATATGTCCACTGAGACCGGCGCTGCAGCCTAGGGGGACTCAGGTGAGGCTGTCTGGGGCAGAATTCAGAGTCCAGTTCAGAGCAGCAGATGGGGGCTCACCAGCTCCCAAAGGAGAAGAAAATGGGGGCAATTATCTTAGCTTTATACCAGCCTTCTAAGAGCAGCCTGATGTGTTAGTCTAGGGAAACAGACAATTACACTGTTGTCAATTTGGAGTTGAGAGTCCTAGACAAACTGTAGAGGATAGGTACCACCCTACTGGGTAATAAACCAGTTAACAGAAAGCAGACACTAGGCTCTACAGTTTAGCTAAGTAACAAATTCAACTGTTGTTGTTGGTTTTTTTTTTCAGACGGACTCTTGCTGTGTCGCCCAGGCTGGAGTGCAGGGGTGCAATCTCAGCTCACCGCAACCTCTGCCTCCTGTAGCGGGCTGTCTCTTATACACATCTAGATGTGTATAAGAGACAGCTTCTGGCACCTCTCGGTCTTGGCCTTCATCTACCACCACCTTGTCGTGAGGAACAGGAGGCTCGTGGCGGTGGGCCTCGCCCACAGGCATGGCAATCCCTGCAAGGGCATGGGGGACAGATGGGGTCAGGCTGAGGCCCCTCCTTCCCTTCCCAGGGAATCTGAACTGGGCTCTTCCCTGGGTTCTGGCTCCCAACAGAGTGACACAGGCCAACAGATACCACCTCCCCGCTGGCCTCCCTGCTGCCTGGTCAAGCGCAGTTGACACTAAAGTTACAACAGGGGCAGCTGCAAACAAGTTGCTCTGGGAGGGGCAGGACATTCATCTGAATTGAAAGACACAGAAAACAAAAATGACCAGAACTTAGGATGGGCTGAAGGGAAACACACACACACAGCCCCAAGAGCCACGTCACAGGGTGTCCGGCCTGCAAAGGAGGACCTGGGGCCCCCCTTCCCCGTCTCCAGCCCCGGCCAGTGCCCAGTACCTTGCCCAGGGCGATCAAGCTGTGCCTCCTCCTGTGCCTCCTGGCCATCTTCCCGTCCAGGCACATCCACGGGCCCCTTGATCTGGGCCTGCTCCAGCTCCTCTCTCTCCTTTGGCAGCTTCGGTTTCTCCCGGCCATCCTCGGCCATGGCCACCACCGGATCCTGGGCTGGGAGCGGGGCACAGTTAGGGAACCGCACTGCAGGAGCGGGGCGGCTCTCCCTGGACTCCTACTATATTTTCCAGCCCAACGGCAGAGCCAAAGCAGTTATTTTTTTTTCCTGTTCAATCATTAGCAGCTAAGTAGCACAGAAAAGTGTCATTTTTCATGTGTATTCATAACAAAAATATGTCAAAATGCAATTTACACCTAACTGGGGGCAGGGAGAGCTAGAGTCCATGTAATACTCAGTCATTACCACCAGATGGCAGCATGAGCCCACCGACCGACTCTCCCACAGTCCCCTCCATTACCGCCATCACCTCCATCACCACCGCCATCACTGTCACCGTCACCTACACCACCACCACCACCACCACCATAACCGCTACCAATCACCATCATCTCCATCCCTACCACCATCAGTGCCATCACCACCGTCACCACTACCATCACCATCACTGCCACCCCTACCATCATTGCCATCACCTCCGTCATCATCACCACCATCATCTCCAGCCGTACCACCACCACTGCCATCCCCACCACCATCGCTGCATCACTGCCACCTCCATAATCATCACCTCCATCACCACCTTCCTGTCCCAGCAAGGCCATATGTCCACTGAGACCGGCGCTGCAGCCTAGGGGGACTCAGGTGAGGCTGTCTGGGGCAGAATTCAGAGTCCAGTTCAGAGCAGCAGATGGGGGCTCACCAGCTCCCAAAGGAGAAGAAAATGGGGGCAATTATCTTAGCTTTATACCAGCCTTCTAAGAGCAGCCTGATGTGTTAGTCTAGGGAAACAGACAATTACACTGTTGTCAATTTGGAGTTGAGAGTCCTAGACAAACTGTAGAGGATAGGTACCACCCTACTGGGTAATAAACCAGTTAACAGAAAGCAGACACTAGGCTCTACAGTTTAGCTAAGTAACAAATTCAACTGTTGTTGTTGGTTTGTTTTTTTTTTTCAGACGGACTCTTGCTGTGTCGCCCAGGCTGGAGTGCAGGGGTACAATCTCAGCTCACCGCAACCTCTGCCTCCTGTAGCGGGGATCACAGGCACCTGCCACAATGCCTGGCTGATTTTGGCATATCTTTAGTAGACACAGGGTTTCACCACATTGGCTAGGCTGGTCTCAAACTCCTGACCTCAAGTGGTCCACCCCACCCGGCCCAAGTGACCAGTTCTATAAGCGTTTGGCCGCCCGCCAGAGCAGGTGAAAACACACTAGTCGCCATCACATGATTAAGCCTCGGCAGGGGCTCCATATGCAGAAACGAGCCACGACTGTCAATCAAGAGGTCCTGTCCAATGGATGACTACGTGAAGAAAGGGAGGCTGGGGAGGGGAAGGGAAAATATAGCAAAACAAAGGAAATCTCCGTTGTCATAGGACAAGTTGCCTCTGAGAAGTCATTTTCTCAGCACGAAGCAAAATTCAGTTCCTCAGGCCGTGAATGACCGTCTGGGGCTCCAGCGGGAGCTCCGTGTGGGTGCAGGAGCCGCAGGATGGGAAGTGAGCACGGTGAGCCGGGAGCTGCCCCAGAGGTCCCTTTCTTTGGAGAACCTCCCGGGAACGCCATGCCTCTCAGCGTTCTGCAAGTGTTGCTGGATTGCACGGGCACCTGCGGGAAGGCTGTGCGAGCGTCCTGGCTCCCCGCCGCCGGCAGCAGCTGACCAGCCGAGGGCCGCACTCACAGCCTGCACGCCTGGCGCTCTGCAGCTGTCCGCGGGCAACGCACACAGCCTCTTCCACAGCGGAGCCGACCTTTGCGTCAGGGACAGTTTGCCCGCAGTGCCTCTTGGCTGCAGTAAAACTAACACAAAACTTCAAAATTAGCAACTGAAAACCATCTGAGTGCTGCCAGCCGCTTCGGATCTCGACATGAACACAGGTTGCGCAAAGACAGAAAGGGGCCCTGTGTGGGCAGTGCCCCCGCCAGCTCACGACTGAGCTCCTCAGGAGGGAGGAGATCTCTGGCATCTGAATTTCTTCTCCTAAGAGGCCAGCAATACACCGGCTAAGCCACAGTAGAGGTGGCCACGGCCAAGAGGGACAGCTCCACACACACCCCCAGGAACACCCAGCGGAGGGTGCTGCCGCAGAGCAACCATCCCCCTCACTCGGCTTCAAAAATCGCCTCCAGGCCAGGTGTGCGGTGCGGCCGAGGCAGGAAGACCACTCGAGGTCAGGAGTTTAACACCATCCTGGCGAAACCCTGTCTCAACAAAAAATACAAAATTAGCCGGGTGTGGTGCCGTGCCTATACTCTCGGCTACTCGGGAGGCTGAGGTGGGAGAATCGCTTGAACTTGGGAGGTGGAGGCTGTAGTTAGCCAGTATCGTGCCAGTGCACTCCAGCCTGGGCGACAAAGCGAGATTCTGTCTCAAAAAGAAAAAAAAAATCATCTCTAGTCACAAAAAACCACGACCCGTGGGCGTCATCGGCGCCGGCGCCAGGGATGCCGTGTTAGGCCCTGTCCCAGCGGCTCCTCACTGCCGGGTGCTGACGCAGGTTCCCAGCTCCTGGCACGCACAGAAACACACACCTTCCTAACAAGTGACAGAGGCCACGACTGGGCCACGGCGGAGGCGGATCCCTCACTTTCCTCCCTGCTATCCAGTCAGGCACGGAGGCCCCAAGGCTGCCAAGGCCACAGCTCAGGACTCGGTCTTTGGAGTTAGACACATTCGAGGACTTGGAGGTGGTGACCTGGAGGGGAAGGGGCAACATCTAATGCGTCCCCAACCCCACATTCAAGGCTGGCGTCCACCCCAGACCAAAGGCCAGCACAGACGGGCAGGGAGGCCAGCGACGCTGCCGTCCAGACCCCAAGAGTCGGCAAGGTGGCTCTGCAGGCTGCCAGCCTGGACCCGCCGTGGCTCCCTCTGTGTGCCTTGTGATCAGCAAAGACGGAGACAGTCACGTCAGATGGTCCCCAGAAGAAGCGACTTTTAAACATGGTCCCGGTGGCCGGGCGCGGTGGCTCATGCCTGTAATCCCAGCACTTTGGGAGGCTAAGGCGGGCGGATCACGAGGTCAGGAGATCAAGACCACCCGGGCTAACACGGTGAAACCCCGTCTCTACTAAAAAATACTGAAAACTAGCCGGGCGAGGTGGCGGCGCCTGTAGTCCCAGCTACTCGGGAGGCTGAGGCAAGAGAATGGCGTGAACCCGGGAGGCGGAGCTTGCAGTGGGCTGAGATCCGGCCGCTGCACTCCAGCCTGGGTGACAAAGCGAGACTCCGTCTCAAAAAAAAAAAAAAAAACATGGTCCCGGCATCCCACTGACGGAGTTCCTCATCCACTCGAGCGCCACCCCAAGTTCACGAGGAGGCTCAGGATCCCAGGGCGCCACACTCGCAAGAGGCGGGAACAATGGCCGCTGACGTGACTTTTAAAAGCTAGTCCCTGCTTTTAGGCAACTTTTCCAATAGCTGCTTTCTGACTTTCCCTTGATGCTGCCATGAGAAAGGATTACTCATTAAGGGCTTGGCTTTACAGCCCAATCTTCCACACATAGCTGACCGATGACCTCATGGTCTCATCTTTCCGAACGTGAAGGGGAATCCCAGGCCATCTGGCTCCTGGTACCCGGGTGTCTGGGCTGGCAACACAGCCAGGCCCTGGTACAGCCTCCAGCAGGCGGAACCTCCTCACCACTGCTTTTGCCTCCACTGCGGCTGGCACCGCTGCTGTCTCTTGGGAGGTGGGAGAAGCTCCCAGTTCCTTCCATACAGCATGGAATGATCTGTGAGAGACTTAGGGCCACATGCTTCTCTCTTCTCTCCTCTGACTGTGGGGACATTGCCATCCTGCTGGAGCAATGCCCTACTGAGAAAGCTTTTTGTTTGTTTGTTTTTTTGAGACAGAGTCTTGCTCTGTCGCCCAGGCTGGAGTGCAGTGGCCGGATCTCGGCTCACTGCAAGCTCCGCCTCCCGGGTTTACGCCATCCTCCTGCCTCAGCCTCCCGAGTAGCTGGGACTACAGGCGCCCGCCACTGCGCCTGGCTAGTTTTTTTGTATTTTTTAGTAGAGACAGGGTTTCACCGTGTTAGCCAGGATGGTCTCGATCTCCTGACCTCGTGATCCGCCCGCCTGGGCCTTCCAAAGTGCTGGGATTACAGGCTTGAGCCACCGCGCCCGGCCTTTTTTTTTTTTTTTAAGAGACAGGGTCCCACTCTGTCACCCAGGCTGGAGTGCAGTGGTGCCATCTCGGCTCCCTGCAGCCCCGACCTTCCAGGCTCAAGTGATCCTCCCACCTCAGCATCCAGCCACCACATCCGGCTCATTTTTGTATTTTTAGTAGAGACAGGGTTTCACCATGTTGGCCGGGCTGATCTCAAACTCCTGACCTCAGGTGATCCTCCTGCCTTGGCCTCCCAAAGTGCTGGGGTTCCAGGTGTGAGCCACCACACTGGCCCGGAGAAGGCTTCTGATAGCTCCTTTGCTGTGTCCCCCACACCTCTCCTCCTGTTATAATTTTGTGCCGTGTTTCTGCTGCTGTCCTGAAATGGCAGGGAGCTGATTCCATTGTCTGAGATAACTGTGCCAGCCGCACAGGACCTGGCCAGGTTCCGAAGGGCCCTGCCTCCCGCAGCCTCTGGCCTGGGTTGAGCCACGTGACCTGGCTCCACACGTGGGGGCCGTGTGTCCCCGCTTGGGCCTGAGCACACAGAACTGTGGCCATCTCTGCCCCTGCACCAACACGCACGACCCGTCGACACCCAGCCAGACCCTCATTCCGTCCCATCACTGCATTCTGGCTCCCTTCTCAGCCAGGCCGCTGCCTCATTTGCTCACCGAGTGGAAGTGCAGCTGTGCCTGCCCCACTGGGGGAGCGGGCACGAGGGTGCCTGAGGGGTGTGGGCCCTGCTGTGCTGCCCCGTGCAGCAAATCAGGGGCGTGCAGGAACCGGGAGGGACGGGGGACCTGCAGCTCCAAGAAAGGAACAGATGTCACAAAACCCAAACCCGCCCCTCGCCTCCAGGGTGCTAGACAGAGCAGGTAGGAACGGCCCGACTCGCGGCTTTCAAGGTAACCGGCTTCATGAGCCTTTGCAGGGACTCAGCCATGCTCACAAAGACCTGCGAGGCCATGCATGGGGCCCAGGCTGTGCGCGTCTAACCACGACATCTGCATGAGGATGGGATTCCCAGCCACAGCCCAGGGCCACGCAGGACTCTCACCCGGTCAGCAGATACCATTTTTGGCCTCTGCAGCATCAAGGAGACCAATAAAACTCCGCTCAGCCGTCCGACAGGGAGCGCGCATCGGTGCAGGACCCTCGACCCCAGCTCAGCCTCAGCCAGGCAGCCCATCTATCATGGGGGAGCCGGGGCTGGAAAATCGGAGACACGCTAAAAACAAGCAGCATGTGGTTCTGAGAGGGGCCATGTGTTTTGTTACAGCCTCGTGGAAGAAATAGAAACCAGATGTGGCCTCGGAGGGCACCAGGTGAGCCGGAGGCCCGCGGCCTGCACAAGCCTCATGACAGGATACAGCTGCTTGCACCAGCCGCAAGCGGAGGCCGTGCAGGGCTGGGGGGACGGGGAGCCTCCTGCTGGCTGGCACTGAGAAGAGAAGTCCACTCCCAGCAGCCCGCTAGACGAGGGCGACACCCCTCACTGCCCAGGCCAGGGTCCCAGCACACTGGACCCACCGACAGTTTCCGTGTCAGCGCCCACTCTAGCCCAGAGGCCTGGATAGCAACAGGTGGCCCTGCTCAGCAGCACCGAGCCTGGGGCCCCAGCTGAGGTGGGTGTAAAACCCCCACCTGCCTCTCCAGGTGGACTTTGTTCCAGGCCGAATCACCAAAGCCAACGCAGGGCAGCTGGCAGCCACTGGCGGCTTCCAACACTCACGTTTTCTTCCTCTGGTGACCCCAACTGTCCCCAGCCACAGCCCCGCCAGCTGCAGGGAACCCAGAAGGCAGGGCTCCCCTGCCCACCTTCGCCATCCAGGAACAGTCATCCTTGGCAAATCTGAGCACAGCGGATCCAGGGAGACCCTCGGAGGGTGTGTATGAGGTGACAACACTGGGAAGGAGCTTTCCAGGCACAGCGTGCGGAGCTCGGAGCAGAGATGACAACAAGCCCCAGGGTCACGGCTGAGACGACGCCCCCACGCGCTCAGCAGAAGCCAGGGGCTCCCTTCGACGGACCTCTCCTCCTGGCCATTACAGAAGTGGAGGCCCCTCCCCGAGGCGGAAGTCACTGGCCAGCACCTCCACAGCGACCTGAGACCCCCAGCCACAGCCGGTACTGCTCACCAGGGCTCCCAGGGTGGTGTGCAGATGATGCCCAGCCAATCTGACTGAGCTGGGGCCTCTGCTCAGGGGTGCGTTGGACGTGGCGGACACACAGGCACTGTGGATGAATAAACCCGGCTGTTGTCGGGGGCAGAAGACCCCAGCATGAAGGTCATCGTGGACAGCACCTGCCTGCCCATGCCTGCCTGGCGCCACTCAGAGCTCGTGGGCAGGCCTGGGCCCGGGGAGGTCTGCTGCCTGCAGGGCCGCCCAGTGTGGCACTCCCCCTCTAGGCCTGGGAGGGTCAGGGAGGCAGTAGCCATCCAGGCCACGGAGCTGCAGCTGCACCTGGAAAGCCACACTCAGAAAACACCTATCTCTGCACCCCTGGGCTCTGCCACAGACGGAGGCATCGGGGTTACGGGGCACCGCAACCGGGACCGTGCCACAGACGGAGGCATCGGGGTTACGGGGCACGGCGGCCGGGACTGTGCCACAGACAGAGAGTCGAGATTACGGGGCACCGCGGGGCCCATCCCAAAGTGGCCTGCAGCTAGCTGCATGAGGGCTCACGGTCCTAACTCCACCCACGGTCCTGGTGAACAAATAATAAATAACCTGAAGCAGCAAACCAAACTGAGGCCTGATCACTGACCCTGTCCAGGAGAAAACCGGAGAAACTGACATCCTCAAATGAACAGCACATGAGCAACACTCAGAAACGTACACCCCACCTAGCCCACCGAGCGGCAGGCATCCAGGCCGGCGGCCACTCCTGTCCCACATTCTCCACA